ATTAAATATATGATTTTATACCCAATGCCATATTACATATAATATTTACTAATATAGTAGTACAATATAATATTGCATTAAAAGTTCTTCGACTGCTTTTTTTCTCCCTATTTAACTATTGTTTTAATTTTGTTTTTTTTTAATGTTTTATGTGTATGTTTTTTCTTCTTCTTTTTAGTATTTTTTTTTTGTAATGTCTGTTGTATGCTGTGGCAGTTCTTTTCCAATAGTACAAATATTTTGCATTTTTTTTTTTGGGTTTTTTGTCTTACATTTTTTCGTCTTTAAATATTATTTTCAATTTTTTAAAGTAAATCGTTTCCCATATACACATCTAGTAAATTTTTTGTTGTTTGTCAAATTACAATTAGCAAATATTACATTACGCTAATTATTCATATTAATTTCAATTTTTAATTAAATTATTTGTATAGTAATTACCGCTATTTGCGTGTTTTGTTTGTGTTTGTGTCTTTTCAAGATAATTATTTGTAGTTTTTTTTTCTCGATTTTTTGTTTGTTTTCATTTTGATATTCTCCAATTGAATCCTTAGAAAGATAATATTTACAATGCAAATTACATACAATGCGCAATGGATTAATAATGTTGGTTTTTAAATTATTACTTTTTATTTGTTAATCTAATTATTAAAATTAGCGAAGTTCAAACAAAACCCTAATGATGCTATATACTCTATGCGTATAATGTAAGTGTGTATGGCAAAAAGTTTTAGGTTTGTTTATATATATATTTATGTAATTAGAGATAGATAGATAGATAGATAGAGAGAGAGAGAGTGAGACAGAGGACTACAGCTAGAGCTGTTAAATAACAGTTTATATGGCTTGACTCCATGAGCTGCTTATCGGAATATCTATTAAAGCTTTTCCGATTTCGACTAATTTAATCGTTTTAATCTTAGCTTAAGTTTAAGTTTGTCTTTTTGGTTTTGAATTTGCAATTTGGTTTACTGGTTATTAGAATTATTTTGTAGATATTAGATTTATGTACATATTGCATTGACCTATGCAGACCTTAGTGGCAGTGCCCTTTTAGTGGGAGAGGGAGGGGGGTGAATGGTGAATGGCCTTTTGTTAGCCAGCACTTTGCGCTCTTTTGTCTCTTCTAGTTTCTCCAAACTGCCATCTCATTTCTCTTTTGTACTACAGCGAGCAATATTTGTTGTTGCCTTTGTTGTTGTGTGTTGTTGTTTGTGTTGCATTGTTGCTGGCGCGTTGCATGCGTCGCAAGATTTGACCAGTTTGTTGCAGTCGCAGCAGTCGCTGCTGCTGCTCCTGCTCCTGCTGCTCCTGCTGCTGCTGGTGTTGCAGTTGCAGTTGCAGTTGCTCTTGCTGCTCCTGTTGCTCCTCCCTCGTTGTGTGGCTGTTGCTTGTGCTAGCAGCTGCTGCTCCTGTTCGCGTCGGGGTCAGTTGGTTAGTAAGGCAATTTGGCAATATTTCAACCGCATGCACAACAATCACACACACACACACACACACACACAATCACATACGCACTCACACACACACACACACAGATATAGAAACAGTATAAAACACACATGTACAACATATTGTGGGCGTATGGGGGCGTGACACACACACGAACACAGTGAGTTTGAGAGAGCAAAAGAGAGAGACAGAGAGATAGAGACAGAGACAGAGAGTATGATGCAAATTCATATGAGGCGCATTTCGTAGCGGGCGGCAGCTCCACGCCCATTTCTCAAATATATATATATAATATATATATTGTATGCATTCTTTTTTTGGTTTTCTTTCGATTTTCTTGTATGAATCATGGAGTCATGAGGAACATGATATGTACACCATACCGATCGGCTGATGCTGATGGGGCAGCACGCTCCCGTGTTATATGATACTCTCGCGATTCCGTTCCAGCTCCTCGGCCTCGTTCTCTGGATCCACGCTGGACGTGGACGAAACGCCACAGATTTGCATTTCAATCTCAGCCAGACGATTTTCCAAGTCCCATTGCTGCTGCGAGAGCTTAGTGTTTAGAGCCTGATTCTCTGACTCAACGGTATGGAGACGTTCTCTCAACCGCTTAATCTCATCCTCGAGTGCCTCATGAGAGCCGAGCAGCGGTGTGGTGCCGCCGCCAGCGCCACCCACGCCACCGCCATAGCATTCCAGCTGCGAGCTCGAATCGCAAATGTGACCTGGGGGCGACAGAGAGAAATGGAGAGAGAGAGTGGGGGAGTGGGAGAGCGAAATAGATAGTGATTGGCATGAGTGAATGTTGAGTGGTGTGGGCTTCCATGTTGGCTTACCTGTATGACTCGGTTGCGACTGCGGCCGCATTGAGTGGTGCGAGGTGGCGCGGCTCCTTGGCCTCTCCTCGGAGCCGTGTGCGCTGGGACTAATCGAACGCGGCGAGTCGGTGGCACGCACCAAATGCTCCGTATAGCTGCGTGGACTGCAAGCATTCAGTGTGGAATACGCAGCGACAAGGCAACAATCAAGACTCACCTGTAGCCATGTGAATGGGGCAGCTGCTGCTGCTGCTGTTGTTGTTGTTGTTGCTGCTGCTGTTGCTGTTGCTGCTGATGTTGCTGTTGCTGCTGCTGCTGCTGTTGCTGCTGATGTTGCTGCACATGATGCAGCATATTGCCGGCAGCGGGGGGCAGCCACATGTCCTCCAAAGTGGTGCGACCGCAGCTCTCCACCAATCCCGGCGTTGACTGGCAACGGCCCATGGCAACTACATTAAAGTATTTGACTGTGTTTTAAAATCAAAAACGTTCACACCGCAAAACAATTGGGGAAAAAGTTGGGAAACAACGAAAAGCAAAAGAAACAATCGATTTGTGTTATTCAGAATTAGGGGGAAGTCGTATTTCGTATTCGTATTCGTATTCTTATCGATACACTCAGAGAAAATTGCTGTTTGAAGTCTTGTGAAGTTTTCAATAAGATAGAGAATATCTTGAACGATAATATTTATATACAATATTAAAATGTTATATTCTAATTTTTTTCATGTTGAAAAAAAAAAAATATTATTTAAAA